CAGCTGTCGCACAGGGGGCTCCATTTACAGGCAGCTGGAGCTGCCCAAGCAACTAGAGGTTGTGCTCCCTCTGGGACGGGCAGCAAAAGGGAGGGGAAAGGAAGGGGTGATTCCCGCTGTCCCTAAGGCCACTCGCAGGATATTGTATTTCTTGGCCTCGTGAGACATTCCTCACTGGGCAAAAATAAACCTGTGCTGCGTCCGCATGTGCTCATCACAAACGGAGTGCTTTACCGACACACCAAGGAAAAGAAATCTGCTCTCGGTCACACCAGTATTTTGCAATAAAGCAGGGTCTGGATTCAGGCACGCTATTTTGCAGGCTTGCTTCCTAATCACAACACTTGCAAACACAGGCCCTGTTCCTCAATACCTACCCTAAAAATCTACATAAAATAGGATTTCTACTCAGACCAGGCATACGGTGCCTGCAGCCCCAGCCGGGCTCGCTGATATTAATGTTCTTGAATCTGTCTCACGCATCGCAGCCACTGTCATCCCTTCAAACAGCTGGCAGCTTCCAAGACCTTTCTCAAGGCAGCAGAGCTCTTTGGCGGCGTTGCCCACGTGTCAAACACACAGAGGTATTTTTGCTGATTCCCCTGATGTCAGGCTGACTAAGTCCCTTTATCTCTAAACCAGGCACATAAACAGAAGTCGAATGTTTCTGTGGCACAGTGGGGACCGCTGACATGGACATTTGTGTTATCTAAGGGCTTTGACACAGGAAAAAGAGCTGTGAGTCAGCAACTCTGTAATTAGTACCCATACACAATTCCTATGTGTATACATTATATGTATATGTGGGATATACTGATAGGCACTTGCAAATTATCTCTGCTCCTTGTGTGTGAAAGCTCTAGCTCAACAAGAAAGAAGTTATCAGCTCCAGAGACCTCTCTGTAGTGGCTGTGGTGAGAGGTGGGTGACAACAAGCAGCTCCTCAATCAGGGATGGCAGAGAAAGGCCCAGGCGAGGTGGCACGGAGACAGCACCCAGCACATTTTGCAGATTTATGTAGATTCCATTAAAAGAAAAATGAAAACCAACCCCCCACATCATCCAGATCCAAAAATTTGTAATAACTCCCAGACTTCATTTGAAAAGTTTACAAATGGTTCAGTCTTTCAGAGATCCATCTGATCCAAACTAGATCAAAATCAACAATTTGGGTGTATTATGTTTTGTGGCCAGGTGAGCAGAGCTTGCTACCTTGAGAACAAAACTACTAATGTTGTGCTCTGCATAACATTAAGATGATTAAATTAGGCTTGCGCCATTAGTTATTTTGGTGAAAGATATGTAGACTTTTTTTTTGTTTTTTATTCTGTGTGTGAACTCTTTCACCCTCAGACTGATTACTTCAAATGGGAATATTCTAAATGCCAGAATATCAACCACTGTGCATTAACATTAGCTATTTCAGTTTACCTGGTAAAGAGAAATCATTCAACAGAGGATATTAAAAAAATAAATTACTGTCATGAGCTCTAATTCTCAGAATATGTGAAGGGTTTGAAGGCTCTTTAGGAAGGAAGAGACAGATGTCTCTATTATATGCCAAAACTAAACGCAATCTAGAAGGGGTAACAATATATGGATGTATGAAATGCTGTTTCCACAGACCTTGTCCCACACATGCACAAATTTATGAATTCCAAACTTGGAAAAAAAAATTACACATTTTGGATCTGGGCTTACGAACTGTTCTTGAACCAAGCTCGAAAGAAATCTGTGAAGCCATGGGGCTGTTTTTCCCCTTTGCCCTTTCAGAATCCAAAGCCAAGCCTTTGCCTTTGCTTGCTTCCCACAACGGCGCTTACCAAGTCATCCTTCGTACCATCAACAGCTGTCAGATCCTGGTCTCTGTTTCTAGGAGGGCTTCATACAAGTTTTGTTTCTGAGCAAGCTTTGTCAGTGACACAGTTCTTAAAATACAGCTGTTAAGGGCTATAACAGCTACTGTGCGATTCAGAGAAAGCACAAGTGGGCCTAGTTCACTTCAGATACCCACTGGAGCTCTCTTTCATGTTTAGGTGACACCCAGCCTGTATCACGGTATTTAGACTTTGATTACAATAATGTCCCTTGCCCTCTCCTGTACATACATATCCCCCCCACACCCTTTTTTTTTTTTTTTTTGCAGTTCCATTAGCCCTTCTCATTGAAAAACCAATCAGTGAAGCCCCAAATCCAGGGCCATTCCCCTCCCTTTTAAAAACAATCCCCCCCCCCCCCTTTTTTTTTTTTTTTTTTTTTTTGCAGTTGCATTAGCCCTTCTCATTGAAAAACCAATCAGTGAAGCCCCAAATCCAGGGCCAGGCTTCTCAGCTCAAGCTGCAAGGGCTGCTGTTGCCTCCCTTGGCTGCTGAAGGCCAACCTTTGGTACCAGCCAGGAATAGCAACTATCAAGCGATGATCCTGTTATATCTCTTAAGTGCCAAGAGCCTTGACAGCATGGCTGCGGCCTGCGAGTTCTGGCATGTGCTGCCTCCAGTCTCTGTTTCTATATACTTCTGCCAGCTACATGACTTCATTGAACTGCTTGATATTCCAAAAGACACAACACTCAACAAAATGCTGGCACTTACCTGAGCTGCCAGTGCCTTCCGATGCACTTCTGGATGCTTTTGCCTGGCTCTGTTTGCTACTTGTTCGGACAGTGACCGAGGGAGGAACAGAGCTGCTGCTGTCTCCACGAATCGTCGAGAGGTCCTGCATGCTAAAGCTCCTTAGTCTCTCGGACAGAGCCCCTTGTCCCTGGTTAAACAAGCAAGCAAACGACATGCACAGAAGTCAGATTCCACAGTTCATTTTCAGCCTTTCTCCTCCCTCCACCAGGACAATAGGAAGAGAGAAAATTGTCTGGTTCAGTAACCTAGAGAGGCCACAAATGAGTTAGGAGCTTAATTTCTTTCTTCTTGCTTTTTCTTTTGGAATAACACTATGAACAAAATTCCACGATTCACATTTCTGATGGAGAGCCTCTCAGACTCTTCAGTGTAATCATCTGAGCCCCGAGCGCTCTTGGCCCTGACCAGCAGGCCACTTTTCCTCACCAGTATCTTTATTAAATAGGTGCTTGCCCTCAGAAACACAATTAAATGCTCTGCATGAAAATGACACCCCTCTTAAAGATAATCATCTCTGATGACATTCACCCAGAAGTTTTCAGTCATATGGAGAATTTCCAGAGCATGGAAAATCTGAATTTTTATGGTAATAAAAAACTGTTCTTAAAAGGAGTAGGCCAGTGTTTTTGCGTGTAGCTTAAGAAGAAAGAAACTGCACTATTGTATAGAAATAGTGTACACTACACTAGTGTATAGAAATACACTGTTTTTCTTCCTCTTTAAGACTGAGCAACAATAAACATAGTCCTTGGTGAAAGGAATATGACTGTTCTTCATAAACAGTGGGTGGTTAAAGGGATACCTTTCATTAGAACTACACCCCATTAAAAAGGTAAATATCTATTTTCCTGAATTCCAACGCCCACATTCTACATGATAGACCTAGAAAAAGAATGCCAGAAACTGCTGAGAAATCAATATAAATTTTATCTATCCTTCTTTCTTAGTTACATTAAGTGACATTCATAATAAACACCATAACTGATGAAAAGTACATTTAGATTTTTTTTTTTTGGTTTTCTTCTGAAGGACATTCTTCATAACAAATAGTCTTGAAAAAAAGTACTGAAATATATAGACCAGGTTGATTCCAAAATACTTCTGCTAGTTTAAATTAGAGAATAAACAACTGGAGCAAGGTTGCCTAGGCTGAGGTGAAGTCAGAAGAAGGCAAAACCAACCCAGAATCTTGCCCTGCTTATTTAACACAAAACAGAGAGTGGGAAAACCATGTGCAAATGGCCAAATAAGGCATTCTGTAGCAATTCACACAGCATCTTTGCTCAGGGACTTCACACACCGATACATGGAAAACAAGTGCTCATGGTCACTGGGACAGCTCGCAGCTACCGCCTCTGAGGAAATGGCTAGGTCAAGTCTCCCAGCTCGCCAGCCTGAAGCTTTTCATGCCAGAAATCCCTCTCTGGGATGCAGCCTCCTCCGGGAGCGCAGAGGAGGTCAGCTCGAGCGCGGCCAGGCCACGCGTCCCTGCCTGAGGAAGGAGCAAACGGAGACTGACGGAGACTTGGTCCGCGCTGCCCCGGAGCGCCGGCCGCGGAAACATCATCGCAGAGAAACAAAATCCATCTGCCCTTTCCAAGACACAGTCATATGGTGGAACTAGCTAGGAAGCTGCACTAGGATTTTTATCCTCTTTTTATGCATTTATTTAATCTTTGCTTTCTTATGATCTCTGTGTGTGCTGAGTTTAGCTGGTTTTTGCATTTAGCTTTTCTGCTGATTGCTACAGAGAAGCACCTGCAGCCCCACCATGCTCCTCCTGCAGACTTTGTCTTGTTCCTTCTCATTGACCTGTTCTAATTTTAAAGCATTTCAAGTGTATGAGGCTTCATTTCTTGAACACTGAGTTCCTTGCTGATTTTATATTTTTGGCATCAGAGTCCCTAAAGCAGATGCTTAATTAAATCTCACCTCTCCTCTCTTACTCTCCAATCTGCCACAAGGGTTCATGCCCGAATTCTGGCTACTTTCCTGCTAGCAACTAAATCACTCTTGGAACATGTTCTTACTCTGGCGGGTAGCTTGACTTCTTGTTTCGAGGCCAGTCTAAGGCACATTTATTATGCTCTGTTTCCGTGTAATAGGCAGCAACTATCACAGATACACTGAAATTACATATATATATATATATACACACATATATAACATATATATATATATATATATACACACACACACTGATGCTTGCTTGGATAGCTACGTAGTTGGGGCGATCTCAGTGGGGTCACAGCTGGGCTCAGGGCAGTACAGTCCTGGGTAGGTTTTCTGGATTGCCTGGAATTCCTGCCATGTAAAACTACTCTCAGTAGCTGGCTTAAAACTCGCCGCCCTACCCATCAGTCTGGTACAACAGACAGATCCTCGGCGAGAGCAGACGAGGGCAGCCGGATCTGTAAATAACATCGCGGGGCTGGAGCAGCCAAGCGCCAGCAGCTGCGGAGCTGCACAGCCCAGCAGGGAAGGTGCCACCGGGTGCTCCTTCACACTGAAAAATGGGGATGTGCTAATATTCCTGCACTGCCGCCCGCGACATAGCGGCCTGTAAGGATCAAAGGCCCCAGAGGGCTTTAAAGCAAAAAGACCCCATGTATGTCTGTCATCTGTTGTCCATTACGTAGGATATAATGTGCAGGCCTTAATACACTGATATCGTGGCAGCTGTGCTATGTAACTATGTAAGTGACATAGCTGTGCTATGTAACCATGATGCTCTCCAAGAAAAAAAAAAAAAAAAACAAAAAGAAAAAAGTACTATCATTCATTAACAAGCCTCAATGCATTGTGACCAAAGGGTAAAGGCTTTTTTTAAAAAAAATAAATTACATCGCAAAATAGCAAAATACTACCGTTATTGCCAGTCCATGAAACAGTTTGTCCAAATCACATAAATGGCAGGAATAGAAATGACTTAAGCTGAGTGGTGAAAATTAACATGTCAAGGAGCTTGCTGACCTTTCTTCCATATTTTTCTTTCAAATGTTGCCTTTCCTACAAGGACTTTCCATCTTTGTAGGAAGAGACCTGAATTTCATTTTTCCTGGGGCACAACATAACACTTTAATCACAATTCTTTCCTTGTCACCACAATATTTCTACCTGAACCCAAACAGATACATGAGAGAAAGTATAACAGAATCAGGGCAGCTTCAAAGTTAGATGGTAAATGTCATTACCAACCTTTATTACTAAAAAAAAAAAATGTAATGATAGCAGTGCAAACCCTACAGTGTCTGCTTTTAAAATGTTTGTGAGCTGCTTTTCTGTCAGGGAAATTAAGTCTATCCTGCAGTAAAGCTTGTTATTCCATAGTAGGACTTACCATTTATTAATAACAGAAAAAAATATCAAGTTAATAGCTTTCTTTCTAGTTAATGACTTTCTGGTTTTATTTCTGCAGTTAACACCATGAGTAATGGTGTAGCACCTCAGTGTGTCAACAGGTGAATATTGAACAATTTTTTGAACATGGGAACTGGAAGGGCTTGTGGGGCCGTGGATGACAGCACTGCTCCCTCCTTGCCCTCATCAATCCCTGTCAGGTGGATCCTGCTGGCAATGTGGGGCCTGTGCCCTGGGGACTTTGTCCCCGAGGAGAGGACACAGGCTACAGCAGTGCTGGGACTCTGGGTCTTCTCTTCCTTCAGCACAAGACCAGACTCAACTTCTGCCTCTTCCAGGTCTCTCCTAGAACACATCCTGTCCCTAAGTGCAGGGCTCCCTGATTTTGCTAGACAGGAAGGCTTCTGGTGGCATCAGATGGGAACAGGCATCTCTCCATCTTCTCTCTAGCATCTGCTCTCAGACTGATTTGCTCTTCCTGTCTCTAGGGAAGTTCATGCCATGGTGAAGGCCTGGGACAAGCTGAAAGCAGAACCCTTCCCAAGTTGATATCCCAGTATAAAAGCTTCCTTTAGCTGTTCCTCTCCCACTAGGCCCATAAATAAATGTCACATTATCATACTTTCAGTCTGGAAATCAGAAAGACCTTTGCTGACATTACTTAGGCATCAACACGTCTCTAATAGCTACAGAAACTCCATTTTGCAGCTGTGGAAACTGTAACACAGCACGGTGAAGCGACACAAATCAGCAACCAAATAAAGTCACATCAAAAAAGAGGAGCTTTTAATATGGTCAATGTTAAAACACATTGGCACCTTCTGGTCTTTTGCAGCTCGGGATCAGTAGTTAAATGCCAGGCAAGGGAACACTAAGTCACACTTACCACACTTGTAGCACAACACTATAAACCTGGTACCATTCTCCTCTTTTTGCTGTGACTTTGGTTAGCAGCTCTCCTGCCCCATAGCAGACAGGTCTGCATGCATGTTGCAGCCTCTATCCTGCATATTCCGAGGATACCAGCAGTGCATATTCCTAGGGTGCCAGTAGTGCAGTTTCCCAGGATACCAGTAGTTGCTCCAGCAAGACTTTCTCAGCCAGCCCAGCTGATACATGGTGGGTAACAACTCACAGAGGATGCGTCTTCATCCCCGAGCAAATCCTGGCCCCCTAGCCCCACTGCAAGCCCACCCATCCTCCTGGAATTGCAGTAGTGCCAGAGAGGCTCCTTTCACCCGTTAGTGACAAAACAAAAGCAAACACAGCAGCTTGGCCAACACAGGAGCAACAACCTGAGTTAGTTGGGGTTTTTTTTTCCCATGTACAAAATTCCCTGCCCGGCTGCTGGAGTCTCTCCGATTGCCAGCAGAGGCCTTGGGAGGCCTTTTGCTGGTGAGAGCCCAGGGAGGCTTTGGGATCTGCACACGTGGGATCTGCCTGCTGGAAGCTGAGCAGGCGGCAGCCTCGGCTGAGCAGGGCTCAGCTGGGCCCTGGGGGTGGCAGCCGTTAGCGGGGTTAGTGCAAGCATTACGCTGGTTACCTGCCCTTCTTTCGGGTCCAAATACAAGTGTAAATGAAGTAGCTGAGAGACCTAGCAAGGGAAAAAGAGAGCCAATGTGGCAACACACATAAAAGCTTGGAGAAGAAAGTCTGTTGGAAGCATAAGCAACCGAGGTGAGAGGTGAGCGTGACAGTCCTGGGTGTCCCTGTACCTGCTGCAAAGGGACTCACACATTGGGGATGATATCAGAAACGGGGAGAAGC